CTGAATAATGTGAATTCAGCATCTTCTAAAGAAAAATAAAACAAAGCCAGTGGGAGAAATCAAATGTTTAACATATACATTAAATATTAAACGTTTTAAAAGGATAACGTACCTGCTATGTCCCATAACTGCAGCCGTACCACCGTCTGACTGTCCCAGTGAAGGACTTTAAGAGCAAAATCCACTCCAATAGTTGCGCGATAATGTTGTGAAAATATCTGATGAACGTATCGTTTGATTATTGACGTTTTTCCAACTCCGAGGTCTCCGATGACTAGAACTTTGAATAAACGTTCTTTCTGCATGACGACTTGAAAAATAGCAAATAAACACCCGGATCATAAACGCATTGACCTACTTTTTGTACAGTTTGCGGCACATGAGTGCTCTTATGTTTCACAGCTTATCCATTGATTATTGTTGTAGGATTACAGTTTGTAACAGGCACGCGCTCTTAAGTTTATATAATGCTCAAAGTTAGGTCAAAGTGCTGTCATGTTACTTTGTGCTCGTCCCCCTTATTAAATACAAGCACAGTTTGTGTTACAGGCTTTACCTTCCCATTAGCTCCACATGAGAAAGAAAACAAAGTGGACGTATTTCAAAAAATGAGTAAGATGAATAAAATGTATTTTAAAGTCTTTTCTCCGAAGAACACAAAATGTTAAAAGCCACGGATATACTCTGCTTCTTCAGCTACTGTAAAGTATAGAAGTGATGAACGATGGAAGTCAAGCACGCCACGCCCATGAGTACGTTGCGTCATAGCCACGCCCTGTCTGGAAATAAAATCTATTTATCTATCTATCTAGATAGATAGATAGATAGATAGAATAGAATAGAATAGAATAGAATATTTGGTACATTTGTAACATTTGTAAAAATCAGGATAACTTTGTGGGAACAGAAATAGTAAAAATAATGTACTTTTATACGTTAAACATTTTATATTTTAAAGATTATTTAACATCACCAAAAGTGGGGCTTGCAGCAATGTGAGATGGTCCTCACTGCAGAACACAAGGTCCAGGGGGCGTGGTTGGATCCAGATCCAACTCCTCCCACCTTACATATTCCTAAACCTACTCGTCTCCACCCCCTGATCCCTAAACCCACCCATCTCCACCCCCTAGATGTGGATTCAACCCCGCCCCCTGGATCTTGTGTTCTGCAGTGAGGGGCTACTGCCCAATGTACCCATAAAACTGCACAACATGGGAGTGTTTACATTTGCCAGACTGGTCTAACAATAATATGAATTATATGTAACCTAAGTTTTATTTACACAAATAGAGATAAAGATACTCAGAGTTTTGTGGCATTTAAAAAATGATTAGAATTTTATTTCAATACTTAAAGCAGCTGAATCTTTTGTTTAAGTTTAATTTAATTTGTTACAATTTGCGTATATTTTTTTATTTTTTTTATTTGTCTTTCAGTGTATGTTGCTTCAATTTGTTGTGTTTGTGTTTAACAGTTGTATACGTATATAAAATGTCTGTTTTTAAACTATGGTTTATGCATTTGTTCTGTATTTAATTTCCACTTCACTTGATATTTAAATAAAATAATAATAATAATAATAATAATAATAATAATTTGAATTAAAATGCTTAAAATTACATGAAGGTGAGGGTGGTGATGAGAGCTGGCATAGTAATTATATTTTTTAAAAAGTAAATTTGAAATTCACTAATGATAAGCATCAGTGGTCAGGCGCAATTGTGGCTGCCAGTATAACGTCTCCTGGAAGTGTTGAATGTACGGTGGCCGTGAAGTGCAAAGCAAATCACAATTCTGAAAACAAAATAACAAATTACAAATGCAAATGCAAGTCTAAAAAACAAAATAACAATTCAGAAAGCACAACAACAATTCAGAAAACATTATAACAAGTCAGAAAACACAATGACAAATTCGAAAACAAAATAACAAGTCAGAAAACACAACGACAAATCAGTCAAACCGGAAGAGGTAGGTATAGTTTGAGACAGCGCCATTGGTTTGGGATTACTCACCGCTGACTGGACGAGACATCTGTCAATCAACGTATACAGGAAGAACCAGCCGAAGAACAGCAGAGTCGTGGTAGAAAGTTCGGAGATGGTATTAAAGTAGCTCAGTTTAAATGTATTGTATGAATTGCCCTTACTAGAGAATAAAAAATACGGAGTGTCTATTTACACTTAGTGCAAATAGCCCGCCTTGTTGGCAG